AAACAAGTGTGAAAAGTACTATATAAGAGGAAGACATAGCAATGTAGATTGTTTCTACTTGGCACAAAATTATTTTGAGTTGCCTAGGAGAACGATAAGAGAAAATGCAAATTTTATATGCTTGTTTAAACAAGATTCTAAAAATGTAAACCATATTTATAATGATCATGTTTCAAATGATATGAAATTAGATGAGTTTAAAAAGTTTTGTAATGAAGCTTGGTCAAAAAAGCATGGATTTGTTGCTATAGATTTGTCTTCTGATTTATTAAATGGAAAGTATAGAAGTGGATTAGATTTATTTTATTATCCAACTTCTTTGTGGAAACAATAAATATATATTTTTTAAAAAATATATATTTTTATGAAGCATTGGTTCTTTCAGAACTTAGTGAAGCCTGGATCACGATGTGATCTAAAGAAGAAGACCTAATAAGGGTATATTCTTAAATGGAGAATTTTCTCCTAATAACAATCCTCTACCTACTGATGAATAATCATTTCCATTTTTAGAATAATATCCGTCTAAATAATTATAACCACTATTCCATGGGTTTAAAAATACACCTTTTCCTACTTTTCTAATTTTAAATCCATAACCATTCTTTTTTCCATAAATAATACCATTTCCATAAATAATACCATTTCCAGCAATTTTATTAACTATAGCATTTCCAGCAGCTGCAGCTGTTCCAGTCAATAATCCTGTTGCAACAGCTGGAGCTGCTGCTGCAGCAGCTTTTGCAAGAGTTGCTCCAATTAATGCTAGAAAAGGTAAAAATCCACCACTTTTTTTAATATTATGTTTAAGTTGTGCTCTACTCAGTGAAAGTGTTATACCCTTATTTTTTGAATAGGCTGCTCTCATTCTGTTTATTTGTGACTCTGTTAAAGCTAATTTGTGTTCACCACTTAAATCTTCATATGTTAGTTTTATACTAGCATTAGTACCAGATTCAATTGCGTTTTTAATTTTTTCTTTCTGACTATCTGACAGATTGATAAGAGTATCATAGTATTTTGTCATTTTTTATATATAAAATAATTTTTTAAATCACTTTGTGATTATTGCTTTCTGTAATGCTTTATACTCATCATCATCTATTTGCCCCTGTCGTAACAACTCATCACAAATAGCAACAATCTCATTTCTTGTTCCAGTATTTCCTGCTTGTAAACCAGCTAAGCGTAATTTAAGCATATCAAATAGTGCATTTGGATCACTAGGAAGAATAACAACTCCTTTTCCAGACTTTCCAATCATCTCTTCCCAAATAGGTTTTATTACATTAGTGTACTTATAACCTCTAGATGATTTTGGTTTAGCTAAATTTAAATCAGAGCGAATTGCATCTGTTTGATTTAAAATTTCTTTATACTTATTATGGTCATCGTTAGTATATCTAACAGGATGAGATTTTACTATAATCTCCCAAAGGCCTGGTGTACCAATGTATTTTTTACCTTCAATGGTTATATCATCACCTTCAATAGTTATTGGTTTTTTACCAATGTAAAATTTTTTATCACTTTCATTGTAATGTATACCAAATATATCATCTGATACTTTTTTACTATTTTTAGCAGTATATAACTTTAGATATTCTGCTGCGATAGGTCCTAATCTCATGTTATCTACAACTTCAGGTGTCATGATTGCTTTAGTTTCAGAATCTAGTAAAGCAGGATAATTTGAAAAAGTATTTGCTATTTGATTAGCTTTATTTTCTAATTTAGATATGCCTTCTTTTATTCCAGATTGACTATCTATTATTGGTTTGTACATTTTTTCCAAGTTAGTCTGTAAAGCATCATAGCCTAACTTTTCATTAATAGAATCTTGATATACACTTTTCTTTAAACCATCAAGTTCTTTTGCTATTTTTAATCTTGCATCAATATCTGTAGCTTTTGCATACATTTTTATATAAGCAATAATTTTTTTAAATCACAATGTGATCTCTAGATCCCTAAAAGGATTAAAATCAACATATATTATGTTTTTAATACATAATATATGTTCAAGTAAATACATAATATATGTTTTTTTATTTAATTCTTAAGAGTATTATTCATCACTCCTATATTCTGATTTTTGTTAAATCTCATATTTAACACTTCAATGACATCACTTTTGCCTTTTTCTATTCCTTTATTAAATATTGACTCTTTAGTCTGTTCATCTATATTATTTTTAGATTTTGTTCTAATTTGTTCAGTCATAGCTTGAAACTTTTCAAGTTCTGAAAGTATCATATTAAATTCTGCATCATCAATATATTGATCTGATGTAGCTTTAGAAATAAGACTACTTATTGTATTTAGTTTTGCATCAGCTAGTACTTTAATCTTTTCATGCTTTTCTGCTTTTATTGTTAATTTTTTAATAGCTTGTGATCCTATTAGTGATAATACACCCATACCTAATGCTGCACCTTCACATGCAATAGCTACTGGTGTACCAACTATTGTTGTTAAAAAACCAATACCAACAGCTCCAAGTGTCATAGTGCTTGCTAGTAATGTATTATCAACTGCTGAAATGATTCTTACAGCTCTATGATATTTTTTACTTAAAATCTCTCTTCTTTTCCTTTCACATTCTATTTTATCTTGAATTTCACTAATCTTTTGTAATCTAAAGTTATGATCTATAGATTGTGGTGGTGCAGATGGATTTTCTGAAAACTGGTTAAGATCTGGATAAAGCTGCTTACATTCATTATTATATCCATTATTACATAGCATTTCTTTTTTCTATAAAGAAAAATTTGTTTTAAATCACTTTTGTGATCAATGCTTCGCTAAATCACTTTTTACCAAAATTAAATATATCTTCATCAGATTTATCTATACTAGGTTTATCTTTAATTACTTCTTCTATACTTGATAATAAAGATTTTACAGATTCTTTATCACTTTTCTGTTTAGTTCCTGAGTCATTTTGTTGTCTAATTTGTTCTTCTTTAACATGTTCTAAAGCATCTCTATGTGATATATAATTTGCATTTAAAACACCATTATAAGTTGATATACAACATAACAAATCTCCTTTTTTAATGTTTATATCTTTTTTATCGTTATTATATACAGTTATTTTAATATCGTCAGTAGACTCTGTTACAATAGAATTTAGTAAATTTAGTTCTGGTTTATAATTTTCTGCAATTGAAATCACTATATGTCCTTTATCTATTTCAACACCACACATTAAAGAAATGTTATTATATGAATTTGATTTTACTGTAAAATCTTCTTGTGCGAATACTTTAATATGTCTATCATTTGTTGCTCTATGTTCTAAATCTGAATTAATATTAAAAGTTATTCTATATTGTTCATGCTTTTCATAATATAAAAACATTCTACTATTATACATTTTATAAATGTAAAGATTTTTTTAAATCACTCTGTAATCCTCATATCTATTTTGTTTTTAAAGTTCTAGCAATATAATTTAAAATGCTTTCACCTTGATGTAAAAAATTACACTTTTTATTATCATTAACATTTTTATATATTAATATTTTTTCTCCTTTTTTATTTTTCTTTAATTTACTCTCTACTAATTTACATGGAGTATAATGACAAATTTCTACATTTTCTTCAATTTCTTTTATAGAATGAGCATATTTGCAATTTATTTTTTTACATTCTTTTTTATCAAGAATATATTTACATAATTTAGTTTTAGCTTTTCTTAATTTTAATAATTCTGACTTTTTAGGATGAAACAATCTACACTTTTTATTCTTACATTTAGGGTATTCAGAACATAGAGATAAATGTCTATATTGACATGAAGATTTAGTGCATATTAGTCTTTCCTTTACAGTATTACAATAAGGAATATCATGATTGTATTTACATTTTCTTCCAAAAGGGCAGAAATTATCATTTAAAATATTTTTACAGAAAATGGGTAGTTTCTCTACAAAATGAATTGTTGAAGGTTTTCCATCTTCAGTAAAATTAATATCTACATTAAATGGTTTTTCAAAACTAAATTTTCTTTTTTTGTAATGTTTTTTAAAAGAAGTATTATCTATAGCAGGATAATCATCATTAATAACATTATAAGTTGGAATATAATTAATCCATTTCAGCTTATCTTTATGCAGCTCCATGATTTGAACTGTTTTTAAAGGAATTGGAACTATAGGTTTTTCTTTAACTTCATCTTCATCATCAGATGTATAATAAGTAGCTTCATCAGATGTATAATAAGTGTTATCTTCAGAATCTGATTCTTCAAATTCAAATTTTAATATTTCTTCAAAAAGTTTAAATTCTTTTTGAAATTCAGATATTTCATTAATCTCATCATCATTCATTTTTATTTTTATTAATTGTAAAAAATATTTTAAATCAAAAAAAAATGAAAATGATATAAATAATTTTCTTTTATATATAAAAAGAATGGAAAACGAAATGCAAAATTCATTTTTAAAATCAATAGATGAAAGATTAAGATTAATAGAAGAAAAATTAAATATTATTGATATACATGATATTGAAATGACTGAAGAAGAGAATGAAGAAGTTACTACAGTTACTACTACTGAAGTTACTGAAATTACAGAAATTACTGAATATGATAATGATATTGAAATGACTGAAGAAGATGATGAAGATTCTGAAGTTACTACAGTTACTACTACTGAAGTTACTGAAATTACAGAAATTACTGAATATGATAATGAAGATGAAGTTGTTGTATTTGATTCTGAGACTACACAGAATTAAATTTTTTTTATTTTTTTTTAAAAAATAAAAAAATTGAAAATGATTTAAATAATTTTCTTTTATTTATAAAAATAATGGAAAATAATTTTGAGATTAATGAAATATTAAAAGAATATGGGTATAATAATTGTTATGAAAAAATTGATTTTGCTGCAAAAATAGGTAGACTTGATCTAATTAAAATATTAATTCAAAAAGGAGAACAAGGGACAAGTTGGACAATTAATTATGCAGCAAGAGAAGGAAATTTAGATATGGTAAAATATTTACATGAATTAGGATATAGAGGAACAGAAGATGCAATTAATTATGCTGCAAGAAATGGAAACTTTGAAATATTAAAATACTTGCATGAATTAAGGTATAAAGGTACAGATCTTACAATTAATTATGCTGCAAGAAATGGAAATCTTGAAGTACTAAAATATTTACATGAATTAGGGTATAAAGGTACAAAAGATGCAATTGATAATGCTGCTAAAAGTGGAAATCTTGAAGTACTAAAATATTTAATTAAATTAGGGTATAAAGGTACAAAAGATGCAATTGATAATGCTGCTAAAAGTGGAAATTTAGATATGGTAAAATATTTACATGAATTAGGGTATAAAGGGACAGGATGGGCAATTAATAATGCAGCAAGAAAAGGAAATTTAGATATGGTAAAATATTTACATAAATTAAGGTATAAAGGAACAGAAGATGTACTTGATTTTGTTAAAAATTTAGATATGGTAAAATATTTACATGAATTAGGATATATAGGAACAGATCAGACAATTGATTTTGCTGCTTCAAGTGGAAATCTTGAAGTACTAAAATATTTACATGAATTAGGATATAGAGGAACAGAAGATGCAATTAATTATGCTGCTGAAAGTGGAAATCTTGAAGTACTAAAATATTTACATGAATTAGGATATAGAGGAACAGAAGATGCAATAGATAAGCTGTTGAAAGTGGAAATCTTGAAGTACTAAAATATTTACATGAATTAGGGTATAAAGGTACAAAAGATGTAATAGATAAAACTGTTGAAAGTGGAAATTTAGATATGGTAAAATATTTACATGAATTAGGGTATAAAGGTACGGTACGGGTATTTGATAAAGCTGCTGAAAGTGGAAATCTTGAAGTACTAAAATATTTACATGAATTAGGGTATAAAGGTACGGTATGGGTAATTGATAAAGCTGATGAAAGTGGAAATCTTGAAGTACTAAAATATTTACATTCTATTGGATATAAAAATACATATTAATACTTTTTGATACACGTAGTGACTATAAATTCTAGTAGTGATAAAGTTAAGCAATGTTTCACTACTACGCATAAGCGCTACTATGCTTAAGTAAATCCCAGCGCATGCGTATTAAAAATAAAAAAATTTTGAAAATGAATTAAATAATTTCCTTGTGTATATAAAAAAGAATGGAATTAGAAAAAAAAAATAAAAATAAAAATAATGTTATTAAAATATTAAAAGCAATTAATCGCGCTATAGAAAATGGTAACCTTGAACAAGTAAAATATTTGCATAAATTAAAGTATTATTATGAAGAATTAGCAATTAATTATGCTACTGAAAATTATGACTTTGAATTTGAGCAACAATTATATAAATTTAAGTATAAATATGAAAAATGTGCAATTAGTTCTGCTGCTATAAACGGTCACTTTGAAGTAGTAAAATATTTACTTGAAATAGGATATAAAGGTGATAAATTAGCAATTAGTTATGCTGCTATAAATAACCACTTTGAAATATTAAAATATTTACATGAATTAGGGTATGAATGTTACGATTGGACAATTGATTGTGTTGCTAAAAATGGTCATCTTGAAATATTAAAATATTTACATGAATTAGGATATAAAGGTACAGAAGATGCAATAGATAAAGCTGCTAGAAATGGTCACCTTGAAGTAGTAAAATATTTACATGAATTAGGGTATAAAGGAACAAAAGATGCAATAGATAAAGCTGCACAAAATGGTCACCTTGAAATATTAAAATATTTATATGAATTAGGGTATAAATGTGACAAATTGGCATTTTATTCTGCTGCAGAAAATGGTCACCTTGAAATATTAAAATATTTATATGAATTAGGATATAAAGAAAAATAAGAAGCAAGAAAAAAAATTGAAAACAATTTTCTTTACATAAATTAAAAAAATGGATTGTACAAGTAAAGATATTAAATTAGGAAGTTATAAAAGAAGATTAAGTTTAGCCCGTTATTTACAAAATAAATTTAAATTACAATATGAAAAGTTAGAAAATGAAAGATTAGAAGAAGAAAAGTTAAAAACACCAGATAATATTTATTATTAGAAAAGTCACGTGACCTATGACGTCATGCAAGAATTTTTCGTAATATTTCATAACAAGAAATAAAAATTAACACTTATTTTAAAAAATCAATTTTTTTTAAAATAAAAAATTATTTCTTATCTAAATAAATTATATACAATATGGTTAACATTGAACCCTATATTAATATTAATTTATGGTTGAAAATAAGGTTGAAAATAAAAATATTCTATTAACCGGCAATCTCTTACTACTTTTATGAATCATAATGCTATGATTTACTGTATCAAATGCTTTTGATTAATCCAAAAAAATACCTAAAGTTAATTGTGAATTTTTGAAAGAGTTAGAGATTTCACGGACAAATTGAATGATTGCATGCCCTATAGAACTATTTTTTTAATTTCAAACTGATTTTTATCAAAAAACTTCTTCTC